GTTAATAAAATTTATTTATTTTAAGATATTACATTGCAGTGTCAGTTCAGGTTATCAAATGCAAAGAAAATTTTGCCTGAAAATTTTTTTTGAAAACTTATTTTAAAATAATGTTTAATGTATAGGGGTGTGCGATATGACGATTTTTGATCGTGGACGATAAAAATGTCTCCACAATCTGCTTCTGAAGATGTATCGTAGTATCGTGCTACAGCGCACATTCTATCACCTCCGTCTCAATATACTGTACAACGCCACATACATTCACTTATCGAATATTAATCTTTAATAGGATAATACTTGTGGTAGCATATTTGATGTCACCCACCATTAGACCAGATTAATTAGGCCATTTAGTTTAGGTTAAGAAAGTGTCGCCCATGAAGAATGGACCAGAGCGAAAGCAGAGAGCTGTGATTGGCTGCTTTATGTGCTTTGTAATGGCTTTCATTGGATTTCATGGCTTTCCATCTCACATAGAGCGTCTGTGCTTTAGTACTGATAGTGAAGGTGTTGCTCAATGCTTTGGTCAATGACATCATACTTTTTTATTCGTTTATTTTTATGGCCCTGATATATTAAGTTATTTCAGACAGTGACTTTTTCGATTTCTAAACTAAAGTTATGATTATTGTTTAAATTTATGGGTACAAAAATGTCTGGATGGTATAACTGCCCAGAGATTGTAAAACTGAAAACAAAAATCTTGTAAACCTGAAAACTAAAAATATAAAAAATATTGTTTGGAATATTATTTCTTCAAATAAGCATTAAAGCTTATGTGTTTGAAATATTGTTATTTGAAAAACTACATAAAATATATGAAATAATATATACATTGTTTTAGTATAGTATTTATATTTATTCTTTAGTACTAGTGTTTAGTATTTAGTATATATAAAAGTGTGTGTGTGTATATAATATGAATAATATATATATATATATATATATATATATATATTAATAACGTCTACATCTACAAATGCAAAGAAAATTTTGCCTGAAAATTTTTTTTGAAAACTTATTTTAAAATAATGTTTAATGTATAGGGGTGTGCGATATGACGATTTTTGATCGTGGACGATAAAAATGTCTCCACGATCAGCTTTTGAAGAAATAGCGTAGTATCGTGCTATAGCGCACATTCAATCAGTTACAGTTCTGGTGCCTCTGTCTCAATATACTGTACAACGCCACATACATTCACATCAGTGTTAACTCAGCGGTAGAGTTTGTCTCACGGGACACTGCACTTATTCACAATCACAAAAGTAAATTATTTTCATCTGCTTTAAAGCCTTGCCGGTTAAACGTTTCATTCACGAGCTGTTCTGACGTGTGCTTTTTCTGAGCGCCTACACCTGAAGCGTGCGCACTAGAAGTCTAAAACCCTGTTAAACAGCGCCTGATTACTGAACTAAGTTATCTTTTGCGCTAATTCTCTCAAAACACACAAGGTTTAACACACAAAGCTTGTCTAAAATGAAAGTAAACAGTTGAGAGAAAAACGGATACGTGCCTGTATATTAGATGCGTGCAGCTCTTAAAGGGACAGTACTAAACATGCTGCCGCTTGTCATTAAAGGGATAGTTCACCCTAAAATTTAATTTCTGTCATTATTTACGTAATCGCATGTTGTCCCAAACCTGTATTAATTTCTTTCTTGTGCTGAACACAAAGAAGATATTCTGAAGAATGGGGATAACAAATAGTTGTTGGTCCACATTGAATTTGATAGTAGGAAAAAAATCCTATGGAAGGCACTTTGGACCAGCAACTGTTTGGTTTTCCACGTTCTTCCAAATAACATTTATGTTCAGCAAAAGAAAGAAACTCATTCAGGTTTAAAACAACTTTTGAGTGAGTAAATGATGGTATAAAATCAAAACACTATGGCAGAATTGACAGACTGATGACAGAATTTATATATTTTGAGCGAACTAATCCTTTAATGTTAATAAAACAACAAAACAAAGAGAAAAATCACTCACTACTCTTAACTGAAAAACTTTAATACAGTTGCTTTAATAGGAATCAATCTATGTTTTATTTTTATATTTGTTCATTCAATTTTGTATTATGTGTATTTTTAATGTGTATCTTTGTTCTTATTTTTTAATAACAAAGATAAAATAATGACTGAGATTTTTATCTTCGCCCACTTTGGCCTAAATATCCGCCATTTTTTTAAAAATATTTTGTTACATTGAAAGGCTTTGTCTTTATATAGGGAAATTAGTTTGGCTGTAATGCTCAGACAACTTACAAAATAGTAAAACCAACATGACAAAGAATCGTGATAAAATCGTGAATCGTGATATGATATTTTTGCCATATCGCCCACCCCTAGTTTAAGATGTGCGTTTAGTCAATTAGTTTTTTATCTAAATTTTGAAACCCACATGAAATTGAATGCAAAGTCTAAGGACTTGGCGTAACCATTTAACCTAATAGTTTTTTAATAGATTTCCCCTTTTCATTATTTTAGGCATCCTTATTTGTCATAAAACTTGTATAGAGGGTGAAGAATTTAATAATTTTTTTTTTTACTATTGTTTAGGTTCCTTTACTGTAAATTTACCTTTTGTGTTTCATGAAAGAAGAAAGAAAGTTTGGAACAACATGAGTAAATTATGACAAAATGTACATTTTTCATGTGAACTAACACTTTAAAATGTGTCTATGAAGAAAGACAAAGCAGAAATATTGACAATATTTAACTGGACAGCATCTTTTCTTTCAGTGAATCTAGAAGCTCTTCGTATCGGCTCTGTCACATTGCCATATAAAAGCCGCCTCACTATAGCCTCAAGTCAACGCAGCCCTGCATCTCCGCTCTATTATGAGCTCTTTTTTTAATGAAATGTTGAATTTTCCTCATGTGTTTGTGTTGTATTTTTCACCTGAGCTCAAGCGGCATCCGTGTCAAGTAGACTAAAAGCCCGTTGATGTCAATAACTGTATTTTTCCTCCGAGGCAGATGAAGATGAGGTCTAATCGAATGGATATTAAAGTCACAATAGACTGCTCCTGCTATTACGGCCTGTCAAGCACGGCCCTTTCTCTCAAAGATTAGTTTCTCCTGCTGAATATTTATACACTTACTGTAGGCTTAACCTCCCAGTCAATGGTGTTTCATTCCTCTTCTGTTCTATTCTCTGCTCGTCTTTCATTTCTGTCCTCTTCTCGCCTCTCTTCTCCACTTCTTTTCCTCTTGTTCGCTCTGCTCCACTCGCCTGTCTAATTAAAGCAGCTCGGGATGCATGATGCCATTATTTAGAGACATTATATGACTGCCAATACTCTCTCTTTGGTACTTGCAACACCAGCTCTTTTGGTAAAGTGTAATTTTCAGTGAGACTAACGATCGGAGGGGAGTGTGTTTGTTTTCTTGAATTTGTCACTTTAATATTCACATGGTTCCCACGGTCATGGAAACAGTTTTGGTTGTATTTTAAAATACATGTCTTTTTCAGGCATGGAAAAGACATGCACATTTTCTGTAATGCTATGGTTTTTGCTTATGCATAGAACAAAACTTGCTCGCAAGCCTATAGTGATGACACACGTGTGAAGGATTTGTTCTTTTGAGTCGATTCTAGGGATGTTCATTTCGGTTATTTTTCCTAACCGACAACCGACGCTCATTAACCAATTATTAACCGCTAACCGATACGATTATTTTAAATTAGAATTTAATTCAATTAGAAAGGATAAGTGTCTGTGACCCATTAAAAAATACTAACATTTGTTTCCCGGGGATTAATTTTACATGCGCAAAAAGCAGCAAACAACAGAACATGAGGATTCACATAGTCATCACATCACACACCTGCAGCGCTTCTGCGAGCGGAGAAAAACATAA